AAGCAGAGATCTGCTTTATCAGCTTCTTCTCTCTCCAGATGACTGACAGGTGAATGCGGAAGTGATGTAACACACATCACTTCTGCATTCACAGCCCGGACGGGGATCAGCAAGGAGCTGATCTCCCGTCCTCCTGACGCCCTCGGAGCCGGTCCCGGGATCCAAGATGGGGCAGCGGATCCCAGGAATCAACTGACAGGTCCTCTTTATGGAGACATTAGGGGTCTCTAGGACCCCTAATATCACCTGTGGACCCCAAAAGAAGCTGATGAAGCAGAGATCTGCTTTATCAGCTTCTTCTCTCTGGGTATAACGAGCGAACGAGCACATATAGGCGATCTGCGGGCTATGGACCCGCCGATCGCCTATATGTGAAACACCCGGTAACGGGTCTGTGCATTGAGCGGGTCTTTTCTGCCCGTGCGTGCCCGCTAGGGGGCAAGCGCGAGCAGAAAAAAATTGCCGTCTGGAGACGGCAACACGCAGATGCTGCAGTGCCGTCCGTCCGTTTTTTTACTACGGGCGGACGGCAAGAGGTTAAATAATGTATTAATGATTACACAGCTGCATTCATTTTTGTCTTTTATATCTGCCTAGAGCTCAGCTTTTACACAGAATAAACACCTTCCGGCACTTTGTTCCTGTGCCCTTCCTGCTTTAACATAAATTACTATCTATAATTTACCAGCAGGTGGTGCTGCTGACAAATTTACTGAGAATGTCCAGATCACAAGTAGATATAGTGTCAAAGTGGAAGGTATATAGCAACAGTTCTAATGACATGGTGGCAGAACCAAGGTGTCTACGCTCACTGTACAAGTATGTTAAAAGCAGGAAGCCTTCTGTAGTCAATAGAATACAGCCGTGTGCATAAAAGGGACAAGACTCTGCAGCACCACATGCTTATGTAATCGAAGTGAAATTGTAGCTTCACTTTGACAGGCCTTAAAGAGAGACTGTCACTTTGCCCAAGATTGTTGTAGGATTGCCAGCGAGGGGAGAGGGCCCTGAATGAGCAAAGTGACAGTGACTCTTTCATTGCTGGAAGGGGAGTTTTCAGGAAAGCAGCAGAAGGGTACAAATCCAGTCCAATTTATATAGATCAATAAACTTGGCAACTCTCTGCTCTGGTATAAAGGTGTACAGGAGAAAGCAATAGCTAGGCAAAGGCAACAGTGCTCACCAGAAATGCTTGGCAGGGTGAAATCTGCACTGTGAATTCCTCGTTAGATATTCTAACCTGCCCGTTCACTATGAAAGCTGGAGAGGTTCAGGGGGTATTGTTTACTCTTCCTCATTGCATAAAAATGTTTACAAAGAGTTCTTTGAATTAAAATAGCTTTTGAATGTGTACTTACTGTGTCCCAAATCTGAAGCTTTATCTGCTTGCCGTCAATTGTAATCATTCGTGCACCAAATTCCACACCTGGAAAAGACAGGTACACTTTTATTTACATCTTAGCATGGAACAAACAACTATTTCAGGTTTTGTGTGACAGGGTTAGATATCTGCTATTGTTCCCATTAAATTAACCACTTCAGTATTGGCATGTTAAACCTCTTCATCACCAGGCCATTTTTCAATGGAGTTAAAGTTTGACTGAGAATGACTCTGGCACGCAACACTGAACACGTTCATTTTATATCCTTTTTTTGAGAAATAGTGTTTTCCTTTGGTTTTTACTATATAAAGAAAAAAAAAACTGTTTCCCTTACTTTCTGTTAAAAAAACCCAAAAACATAGCACATAAAAATGCCGGGACAGTACGAAACCCCCCAAAATAAACACCTTTTTAGAAAATGGACACCCCGAAGGCCATGTGAATTTTTGTAAAGAAACATGCCAGTATTGATGGGTTTAAAACATGGAACTTTGTGTGTGACCTGTACATTTAATTGAATCTCGTGCGCCATTAACGAGGGAGGAGGAAGTGAAAGAATGAATGTACAGGTCACATACAATGGGAGGCTGGAGATGAAGGGGTTGGGTTAATGTACAGATGTGTAGGATAAGGTAGGTAAACAGGTTAAAATACAGCTCAGGGCAGAGATAAAATGGAGTGGACATATTCTATAGAGGAGAGCGAAGTGAAAGGGTTAAACATTTAATTATGCTTTATTATTATTTCACCAGGAACTAATAAATGAACGACCCATTCATTCAATAGCTCCTTTCCCTGCCAATCACAGCGATCAGAAGGCACGAAGCTGGTCCGACCGGCTCTGCACCTGAAGCTGATGCTCACCACTGTCTGTGTACAGTGGCTGGTCTGCAGGAGGTTCATGAAATTATGCACAAGCCTCAGGTTTAAGCAAGAAATAATAGGAGTAGATCATAAGAAACAGGGGATGGACCTGTTTCCTGTAATGTACACCAAGCCAAAACTGCTATTTTCTTAATTGTTAAATACAGGACACAGGATGCGGCATTCTGAAACCCGAGGACTTCCAAAAGCAGTCCAACGAAGGGCTGGGCAATACAGTAAACTAATGGTTAACAGGACCACAGAATACAACAAAGGAGCAGATAGGGCTCTACAGCTTACAGGGCTGCCTGAAGAACCTTACGAACCAAGCAGACATCTGTAGAAGCCTGAATGTCCACGTCCTATACGGTAACAAATGTGTGAACTGAAGATCAGGTAGCAGCCTTGCAAATCTAAGAAAAATGAAGCCTGATACTGAGAGGCCCAGGAAGGACTAACAGTCCAAGTAGAGTGCACCTTAATTGGGAAAGGAGGAGCCTTGCCCTTGCGGTGATAAGTTTGAATGACGAGTTGTCAAATCCACCCAGCGATTGTGGAACGAGAGACTGGCTGACACCTGCAGTGGCGTTCAAGCATGACAAATAGTGTCGGATTGACAAAAAGAGGCTGAAGGGGATGAACTCGATTAGCCTATGCCATCCAAACAGAGGAGGAAAGCTTCCTTAGGATGTTTAGGCACGGGACATAGAGATGGTAAGACATGGTTTAAGTGAAAGGAAGAAACCATTTTGGGAAGGAAAGAGGTCCCAACCTTGACCTCGTGCAGCACAAGAATGGGTTCTTTACAGGTCAAGGCCGCCAACTCAAAATCACCGCGCAGAAGTGATGGCGACAAGAAAGGCAACCTTTTGAGTAAGGGTGGACAAAGGAATATCCATAACAGGTTAAAAAGGCATCCTCTGAAGGACTGACAGAACTAGGTTGACATCCTATAGATTTAGAGGGAAACATACAGGAGGAACGATGCACCACTCTTAATGAAGGCCTTCACTAATCGACAGGCAAGTAGTCTCTAGAAAACACGCTTCTAAGGCTGAGATTTGACTCGACGGTACTCAAAGCCAAATCCTCACCCAGACTGGAGGAAAGACAGGATTTGTCCCATGGTGCACGGCTGTATCAAAAAATATGGTTAGTACTATAGTACGCAGGATGTTGCTGGCATCTTTATGTACTGTGTGCATGGGTCCATAAAAAACAATACACCTGCATTCAAATCCAGTCCCGCTTTACTGAAAAAAACAACAAAAAAAAGCTTTTTTCCTTACGGCTGTGTGCATGAGCTTTAAGAGCATAGGGATAACTAAAACCGATAGGCCCCCTGTCGCACAGGACCTAGACTTCAACAGAAGCAGGATGGTAGAGCTGTCACTGGCAGAGACATGCCGTACGACCCAGGAGGGACCATGGAGAGTCTGCCAACAGTTGACTATGTTGGAGCTATACTTTATCCAGGACCAGATCAGTGTAATGATGCCCTCCATCTTTATTCTGCAGAGTAGACAAGAAAGGAGGTTAAGAGGGGTAAGGGCATAAAATCAGGTTGAAATGATCCCCTAGAGCAGGGGTGGCAAACTCAAATTCATCGGGGGCCGCATCAGCAGTATGGTTACCTTCAAAGGGCCGGTTGTATAGGACTATGCATCTACTCTTTATTATCATAAATAGTTGCCTCTGCATTCAGTTGCTACTGGTTTTAATAATAATTATAAGTAATAACTAGCCTTGAAAACAGAAGCCTAAGAAGAATAACAGCAAGCCCGTGGACGATACCAGCAGTCTGCAACCCTCCTTTTCAACTGGCATGGAATTAAATTATTCTCATAATAATTATAAGCAGACATCCAGAGCACCCCACTCCCAATACAGCAGATGTCAAGAGCCCTCCCACCATCAAAAGTACGCTACGTACACAGTGCAGGGGTCAGGATTGCGCCTAAAAATTCCTCACATCTGTACTCTCCCCTACCTTCCTATCTGGACCAGCTCTGGTACCTCCCTGTATAGGCGGCTCCCTCCCTTTGTATTGGGCTATAGTACCTTTTTTTTTATTGGGCTATAGTGGTACCATCCCTCTGTGGGTGGATGTCCTGTGTTATCAGTACTTTGCTTCTTTTTTTTTTACGATAAAACTTTAAAAATAGCAGCACACAGTTTATTAAGAAGAGGCACAGAACGCAGCCCTCTGGATGGGGGAAAAAAACTGCCCAAAAAACTGCCAGCAATCTCTGCCACTATGAACATTCAGTAGCATGCAAAAAAGCCGGCATCGCTGGCTGGAAGGACTGGGGAGGCGGGGTGGAGGTGGGCACCAGAGCGGCATTGTAAGCCGTCATGGCTGCAGAAAGAGAGGAGGCGGCGGTGGAGGCGGAGACAGGGCGGAGGCGGAGCGGCACAGTAAGGGGGAATATGTAATTCCTGCTCAGACTGGCCGCGCCGCTCACTTGCTGAAATCCCAACCTGGCAAAATGAGGTGGCTGCTGTGCGGGCCACATTACAAGGTCCGGCGGGCCGGATTCGGCCCGCGGGCCTTGTGTTTGCCACCCCTGCCCAAGAGTCACTGGAGCATCCACTGCCAAGGTCCGAGGATCCATGCCCTGGCAACAAGTTTGTCCTTCGTTTTGAACCTGGAGGCCCAGCGGTCCATGTCCAGTGTGTTCCTCACCTGCAACAGAGAGCTTGAAACGATTGTGATGGAGAACAAACACCAGATTCAAGACATTAATAACTGAGAAAGTTTGTCTGGCAATTTTCCATGCCTGGGATCTGAACAGTGGTCAAGACCGGTAAATTAGGTTCTGCCTAAGCCCGAATCACGCCTGCTTCTCTCTGCGCTGAGGGACTTCTGGTGTCTCCCTGATGGTGGATTTAAGTCACTGCTGTAGCACGGTCTGGCTGAATCGTAGTAGCGTGACTTCACAGTCAAGAGGTCCAGTGTTGAAGAGACAACTGAATGGCCCGGAGCTCCAGAATATTGATCGGAAGTGGAGATTCCTTGGCGACCAAGTTCACTGTACTCAGAGGTTATCCAGGACTCTTACGACCATGTACTGCAGAGCAGTAAGGGTTAAAGTGTATGTCCACTTTTGCAATCATACTTAAGAAAACCCCTCTATGTTTATTGTGTCTCTATTCACACAACATACTGTTAAAGAAACAGCTTCGCACTCACCACTCCACCACAGCTGCAAGGCATCCAGGAATTGGTTGCAGGGGTGCATTTGAAACTTTATACATATGGACTTTGATTTTATTATATATACGATTTGATTTATTGGTCACTTTATTATCCATTTTACTGGAGCACCTTGCATTACTGTATTTATGGACTAAGATTGGATTTTATATTGCTGGATTTAAAAGTATTGCTTGATATGGTATTTATGGCAGTCATTTTACTATATAGTACACGGATTTTGGGTATATACAGATCCTACATTGAGTAAGGATTATAGCGCTGCACGTTTTGTATATTACCGTATATACTCGAGTATAAGCCGTCCCGATTATAAGCCGAGGTACCTAATTTTAACCACAAAAAAAAGGGGAAAAAAAAATTTTTTTTTCCCCTTTTTTTTGTGGTTAAAATTAGGTACCTCGGCTTATAATCGGGACGGCTTATACTCGAGTATATACGGTATTTATTCACATAAAAAAAAAAAAATTTTTTTTTCCCCTTTTTTTTGTGGTTAAAATTAGGTACCTCGGCTTATAATCGGGACGGCTTATACTCGAGTATATACGGTATTTATTCACATAAAAAAAAAAAAATTTTTTTTTCCCCTTTTTTTTGTGGTTAAAATTAGGTACCTCGGCTTATAATCGGGACGGCTTATACTCGAGTATATACGGTATTTATTCACATAAAAAAAAAAAAATTTTTTTTTCCCCTTTTTTTTGTGGTTAAAATTAGGTACCTCGGCTTATAATCGGGACGGCTTATACTCGAGTATATACGGTATTTATTCACATAAAAAAAAAAAAATTTTTTTTTCCCCTTTTTTTTGTGGTTAAAATTAGGTACCTCGGCTTATAATCGGGACGGCTTATACTCGAGTATATACGGTATTTATTCACATAAAAAAAAAAAAATTTTTTTTTCCCCTTTTTTTTGTGGTTAAAATTAGGTACCTCGGCTTATAATCGGGACGGCTTATAC